TGTGGTGCAGGATCTGTCCCTGAGACGCAGGGTGCCCTGCCTGCCCGCACAGAGGGGCCCTGACACGCCGGAGGGGACCCAGTGGGGCTGGAAGTGCAACCTCCCAGCTCAGTCCCGGCCCTCCCAGGCATCCTCCCGCTGCTTGTTCTCCAGGCGCTTCCTCTCTGCAGAGACAAGAGGAGGCTCAATCCCACATCCCTATCACCCCACAGCCACTCACTTCCCCCTGGATGTGGCCAAAGCCCACCCTGGCACAGCCCCCTCCCACCCAGCACCCTGTGAGAAGGAGCATCCACAGTGTGGGTCCCCCGACACCGCAGCCCCCCTGCGTATCCAAATCTCACCCCGGGCTTCTTGCAGCTTCCTCCGCTCGGCATCTCGCTGGGCTGGCGTCTGGTTGCTGCGCACCCCCAGGGCACCGATCACCAGCCGCCTGGCCAGGGCTGCCGACGTTTCAGGGCGCTCCTTGGCTGGCTGCAGGTAGTCTGGGTGAGCAGAGATGGGGAACATCAGTAGGGGCATCCTGGGAGGGACAGGGCAGCCAGCATGGCTCCACAGTGCCTAAGGCAGCCCTCTCCCTCCCTGCTTATCAGAACGAAGATGCTACGGCACAAGCACCATAGCAGAAGCAAGCATGGGGCAGAATCTCTCACCAGCGTACGCTCTGGCTTTGGCTTTAGAGGCGCGGGTACCCTGGGAGAGTGGGCGAGTCTTCACCATCAGGTGCTTGGTGCTGAGGGCATCGCATGCTGCAGGGAGAGAGCAGTGGTGTCCGTGTGCAGGGACAGCCCCATGCCCAGGATCTGGCCAGGGGAGAGGCAGAGATGCCTCCCCTCTGCCCATCCCCAGCTGAACAGGGAGCAGTACCTGTTATGGGGCTAGAGAAGATGCCCAGAGCGTGTGTATCGTCCACCCACTTAATATCAAAGCCTTTTTTCCTGACGGAGAGAGGGAAGCTCAGCAAGGCATTGGCATCAGGAGGGCAGGGGTCTGGAGCAGAGCCCAGGCAGGGGACCCCAGCACCAGGGACAGGGCATTGCTGGCAGACTCACTGATAGCTGCAGAAGACACGTAGCAGGTCCTCAGTGCGGAAATCCGAGGGGAAATCATAGATCTCGATGACGTGGGGCAGCTCGTCATCGCTGAGGTCTGGTGCGGCAGGCTCAGCCCCATAGTAGTCGAAGCGGGGTGACTGCTGGCTCTCCTGGTGCTTCTCACCCCCCAAGAGCTGCAGGGGTGGGAGAGGCACAGCACTGAGCAACCTGTGCCCGCCTGCCCCCCGCCAGCCCCTGATCCACAGCAAGCACTCCCTGAGAAGTAGTCCAGCCCTGCTCCCCACCCCAAGCACTGCAGATGGATTCATGGCATTGAGATATTAGGAATTATCGACTGGGGTGCTCACACCATGCACTTGCTTTTCCCATTACCAGCATCCCTTCACTTGCTGAGCTCTGCGGTCCCACTGGGGATGCAATGGGAATGGCACTGGTGAGACAGCGTATGCACCCCCAAGCACACTCCTCCTTCCACAGTGACGTCCTGACCCAACATATATTTGAGGAACAACAAGGAGCAGGACAGCAAGGCCAGGTGGAAAGACTGTCTGCCCACCACGTGGGAGCACCAGGCTCAGCATGTCCCAGCTGCAGCACATGCACCAGAGCAGCCCATCGGCACCCCAGACACCAAGATGGAAAAGCTATCTCTCCCCTGACGAGCAAGTTCTGGTGGTTTTTCACCTGCACTGATAAAAATTTATGCCTTATTTCTCATTTGAATTTGTCTGGCTTCGCTTTCCAGCTGGCAGTTCTTGTTCTGCCTCTCTGCTGGATTAAAGAGCCCTCAGTCCCTGGTCCCCTCCTGGTGATGGCACTTACACTAATCAAGTCCCTTCTCAATCTTCTTCTTGATAAGCTAAACAGGATGTGCACCTTTACTATCTCACAGTGGAGGAACCTCTGCTTTGCAAACCCCACCATGCCAGCAGCCAAGGGGATTCACAGCCCCACTCTGGCTGTGACACCAGGCCAGGTTCAGCCTGAAGCCGCTGGCAGCTCCCCTGTCCTCCCTGGAGCATGGGGCCAGCACGGTGCCGGGGAGCAGGTACATAACTCAGCTGGGTTCCCAGCCCGATCCCCCAAGCGATCATAGCACAGCACACCACGGCTGGAAGGTTAGAGCCCATAAATCCCAGACAGCTCAGTCAATAAAAAGGGCTCATTCCAACAATTTTATGGGGAAGATGGATTCACGGCAGGTGAGGGGCTGCTGCCAGGGTGGCTGGATGCCGGTGGAGGGGAGAGCTGAGTTATGGAGCTCACAGGACAGGCTAGCACTGCCGGCAGAGCCGCCTGCCCCGCCACCATCACCCATTAACCAAGCGCACCCGGTACGGGGCAGCGCACCCATCCAGAACCCCCTGTGCGCCTGGGGGACACGAAGGAGCCGTCCCCGGGCAGAACAAAGCCCTGCGGTGCCGCTTGAGGGAGCAGAGCACTCAGGTAGTGCCAGGCTCTGCGAGGATGATTAGAGAGCAGGAGTGCCGAGTGGTAGAGCGGTCCTTGACCTTCACAAATCATCGAGTGTGGCCGGGCAGCAAGGACAGGAGCCGTCTGGCAGCCAAGCTCAGCCGCACGGCAGGCACAGCTCAACAGGTCCCCCCACGCTGCCAGCCTGGGCACCCAGCGTGCCCACAGACCCCCAGCCATGGGGCAGGGCAGGGAGCAGAAGCTGGAGTACGGACCCCAGCCCTGGCAGGCACCCGGCACTGGGAAGGGTCTGCTGATGGATGGACAGATGGCAGAGGCCTGTCCATCACACCTCACTGCTCTGTAAAGATGCACCCTTGCCAGAGCACGTTAGAGGGGACCATGGCCACTTGCTTACGCTCCTGCTCGCTTGCCGAGAGCACACCTCCAGAGCTGGGGGGCAGGTGGGTGCCAGCACACACGCACCAGCATGCACACACTGCACACCCACCCCACCGCACCAGCTGATGGAGAGTGCACTGTGCCTGCAAGGAAATAGTCGCAGTGCTTAATTACTCTCTGCGTTCAAACTTATTTCTACTCTAAATTTGTCTGGTTTCAGCTTCCAGCCAATGGATCTCGCTGTGGTGTTTTTTCCTGCTAGATTAAAGAGCTGTCCACTATCAGAAATCTCTCCTCCACACAGAACGTCATAAATCTTGCTCTCTGCTGACTATCCACAGTGCATAAGGATTCAGTTACAAGGAAGAATACTACTAGTTTTCTTGTCCTTTTTGTTAATTAACAACAGCTCCATCTCCCCGAGAGCCTGCACTCTCCCTGAGTAGCCACGTCCACCTGCTGAGACCTCAGGGGGCTCAGGAAGCACAAGGCTCGGCACGGGAATCTGCAGAGGATGAAGATGGCAACTTTTAATTGATAAAACCCTTATTCAGGTTGTCATTCACCCATTTTGGAAAGCTCCCTGGAAAGCTCAAACTTTGCTCAGAGCTTGTGCATAGGGGAGCCAACACAGAGCTGCTCACGGCACAGCACAACCTTGCCCGCAGCATCCTACGGCATAACACGGACCCTCCCTGACCTGCCTCCCCAGTGGGACCAGGCAGCTGCTCCACTGTGCCCAAGGATGGAGCCATGCCCCCTGTGCCAGCCCACGGAAAGCCAGCACCACATGCACCAGCTGCTGTTGGAGCAGCAGCAGCGTCCCCCCTCACACTGGCACTCACTGTAACCTCCCGGCTAGAGGGTGGGTGACTGCGGCCAGGAGAACAGCCAGGCAGCAATGGGGGTACCAAAGCTCTTCCACATCTGCCCCCGAGCAGCCCCGGAGGCAAGCCCTGTGTGGCCCACACCCTGTCCCTGCCCCACGCCAGGCTTGGCAAGGGCACACCAGCCTGAGCACTGCCCCACAGACGAGGTGGGTACCAGTGCTCCTGAGTTAATCTCATCCCTTCCCAGAAGCTGTTATCGGGCACTGTCCACTGCCTCACACCCTGCTTCCATCCCAGGGTGGACAGATGTTGGCTGTAACAATATTAGCACTCTTTGTTACTTTGGGCACATTAATGTCATCTGGAAAATTACTGGTTTGACACTACTGATTTAAAATGCAATAAGGGCTATCCAGCCTCACTGCAGAAGCCGAGTTTTTCTCGTGAACGGCAGGAAAATAGCGTGGGTACTGGCGCTAAGCAGCTAGTTGTAGTAAATTCAGCCGCACGCGTGCAGAAGAAGATGGTAATGAGCCACAGCTGATTAAGAAGCTGCAGTTTCAAGGAAACCTCCCGTTGCTATTTCAATGGGAGCGCATACATCTCAGCCCATTTCTTTATCACCAGCCCCAGCTCCACGAGGGTGCAGTTGCTGTTCATGGTGCTTGAGCAGGTTTTACTGGGTGCACTTTATGTACTAGAGACAGAACATCTCCCCAGCCTTCACCAGCACTGCCAGATGGGAAACAGCCAGGGGGGAAGGTGGAGGGCCCAGGTGTTTTGGGCACTACAGGCAGCTCGTGCCCTCAGGGACAGCTGTCAGTGACAGCAGGCACCGCAGCCAGGCTGGCTGCATGCCCCAGGTGCAGCCCACCCCCCCTGCACCCACCCTGGAGGACACAGGGACAACCGACCCCACAGACCCCTGTCCACACATCCCAGCAGGCAGCAGCCATCATCCCTGCAGATCCCGGCAGGACATACCTCCTCCAGCAGGCGCGGGTCCAGGCAGTCCCCATCGTCGTTGAACAGTGCGTCCCAGCTCTCCTCGGTGCCTGGGCTGGCCTGGCTGGGGGTGCCGGCACTGGCCTGCTCTGCCTTTGGGGAGCCGCTGTGGAAACCTCCCTCTTCCTCTTTACCTTTTGCTCCGGTGCTGCTGCAGTGAGCCTGTGTCCTCGTCTGTCCCTGCCAGCTCCACGGCCCAGCCCATGGGTGAGAGGCCCTCTATGCCATGGCACAGCAACTCCAGGGGTGCCAGGGGCTTGCAGCTCTCCGAGGGTGCCCCCTCCCATGCAACCCTTACCAGCTCCTCGCCAGCAGCCGGCAGGCTGCTCTCAGCCCCAGTGCTGTCGTCTGTGCAGGCAGAGGTGCTGCCCACTCCCCCCACAGCAGGCACCGGGATGCCCTCCCCACAGGGATGCCTGGCTCCTGCAGCGCTCTCCTCCTTGTTCGGTGGGAGCTGGGATGGGCTGCCCACATCCTGCCTCAAAGTATTCTCCCCAGGGAGCACCAGCACGTCACCCACGCCAGCCCTCGAGCAGCTGGTTTCACAGCCGGCTCCTGGTACATCCAAGGTGCTCTCTCCAGCAAGCTCAGACATGCCTCCCTGCCTCTCCTCTTCCTCCTCCTCTGCCAGCACCCCAGCAGCACAGCCCTCACTCTGCCCTGTCAGGAGAAACCCTCCAGGCTCCCTTTCCTCTCCATGGGCTTTTCGACCTGCAGCCTTCCACGTCAGCCCAGGCACGCTGCCCCGGTCACCTGTCCCTGCAGGTGTCAGGTCACCCTCTCCTGGGCCCTGGGAGAAGTCACTGGCTGGA